TTTCGGTTTATTTGTTTGCTTTTTAATGCGCTCTTTAATAAATTTGGTCGATACCAAAGCTGTTTCTTGAAGAATTTTGATTAGATCGTTTACAGACTCATTACAATTTGAGTATTTTCTACTGAGAAATTTTTAAAGTTTGGTTCTAGAATTCTAATCCTGTATAAGTGTAGAATAACGATTAATCGCTTTTGAATCCAATAAAAATTTACCTGGGAGTGGTTCAGATATGCTTGTTGGGTATTTGTTTAATCATAAAAAGAAGTTAACAAGGTACAGCTTATTGCACAGTGATCTGATAATGGTGTAAAGTCATGCACAGTAAAACTACTTATGGCATAAACATGTAATAAATTTGCAGATGCAACTGCATAATCAACAACGCTAGAACCATTATATGTTTTACATGTATCTACCAAGTAGATCACCAATAGTTCTACCATTCAAAATTCGTAGCCCAGATTTTTTACAAAGCTCAATTATTATTATTTGCCACTCTTATTTGGCCTTTTATGATCAAGATTATTTCTTGGTGTACTTATATCATATACATAATTTTCATCCTCAGCAGGAGGATACATAGATTCATCTGAATTCACAAAGTCTGGGGATGTTCTAGTATATGCATTAAAATCTCCTTGAATCAATACTTCACCATATTGACTATAGTATTCTATATTACTGAGTAATTTTGAATAAATTTCTTCAATATCTTTTGGTTGCCCAGAAGATTTTTTTCTGGGGGAAAATAGATAAAAGCAAGATATACATCTCTTGGAAGATTAAAAAACTTATGGTTTAGCTTTACCCACTGGATATCACTATGTTCATTAGGAAGCTTAGACAAGCCTTTTGTCAAATAAAATTTGGCATATATTGCAATTCCACCAGAATTTTTATTGACTACTGTTACAAATAAGTGTATAGTCTGGTATATTCAAAATAGTTCCACTGTCACTCCACGTTTCAATTAAACTAAAAACATGCATATTGGATATAATTTTCATAAAAGTAGGGTCCTTAATTTTGTCTTCGTTCAAGCCCTGAATATTCCATACACCAATTTGCAGGTTATTTGTTGTCATTGTAAAAGGATCAATAAAGGTAAGATGTTGGGAAGTTGGAAAATAATGGTTCTTTATTAAGACATGATTGTACGTACTTACATATTGGTTTGGATACGCATTTGGAAAATTAAAGTGAAAATATTAAATATCCTCATGTATGTCCTAAGGTCTAGGTACATTTTTATAAAAAAAAAATTTTTTTTAATTACTTAAGTGTATTAAGTTATTATTGACATTTTTGGAGGAAAGATGGATAACTCTAATCGATAAGTATGGTTGAATAGTGAGAAACAAAATTTAAAAAATATAAATAAAAAAAAATAATAAAAAAAATATATAAACTGTTGCTGCTGCACAGCAATGACTAGAATCAATGTACATAGAGTAAATGTAGGTTACAAGTACAATGTCATGTTAATATCATACACAATTTACAGTTTTCAAATGTAAAATGAATAACAACCAATGAAAAAAGTAACAAAAATACTGTTAGTTTGTGATGAGAATCAGAATGGTTCACTTACAAATTAATAAAGTAAATATTTATTAAAAGTTCATTCTCTGCATTGCCGGGGGCATGTTCTAAGGTCCGAAAAGCCAAGGGTTGAAGTATGGCATGCTGAAGGGCGGGCGGTCCAGGTGGATTTCCGAGCGGTTGTTGGCATTGACTATTGTTATTGTATGGATTTCCCAGCGGTGGTTGGCCTTGATTACTGTTATTGTATGGATTTCCCAGCGGTTGTTGGCATTGATTATTGTTATAGCATGAATTTCCAAGTGGTGGAAGGCTTTGATGGTTATTATTGTATGGATTTCTGAGTGGCGGTGGGCATTGATTGTTGTTATTGGTGTCAACATTGTTTTGCCTGGAATTAAAAGTTTTTCGGTTCGCCATGACGCCAACTAGGTTTTTACTCATCCTTGGAGGTGTGTTACCTTGAGTGAATGGGATGTTCATCTGGCGCTTCAAACATTTCACAATTGCAGATAGACCTCTGCTGTCATTGAGATGTACATAGTCGTAGAACATGTCTTCTGTGGGTATAAATCCTTTGAAGATGTTCAAATTTGGATAGTCATGTACTACTGATATTATCCTGTCATTTGCATCATCGATAATAAATTTTCAATATCTCTTCTATATAGAATTGGTAATATGTAAATATCAGAGGATGGCCATGTTTTGAGAACAGACTCAAACATAAGTTTAAATTCATTTTTGTTGACGCCAGCGTTCTGCACGTCACGTGCACCAATATGAATTAACTCTCTTTTTGGACGGAAGTTTTCACCATTGTTGTTAATGAATTGTGTGCAAGTATTTGCACCACCTCGTATGTATCTTTTCTTTGTAGTTTCATTTGGAGAAAACTGGCTAGGAGTGACTAAGTATAAGGTTGTCGCATTATGACAATTTATCATCTAAATTTATTTTCTGTGGCATTTTGTTTATGTTTGAATTTAGTTGCCCGTTTTCAGGTTGTGGCTCAGGTTTGCTTTTAGAATTTAAAATCAAATCCTCCGGCACACTGCTAGCCGTGTTTTTGACATTAATGTGTTTCTCAATATTCTTACTAGGAGTGGTAATATTGTCAATAATGGAGTCTTCGTTTGAAGTATGAATTAATAGTTGTTGTGAAATGTCATCGAGTTTTGTCATGATTCCCTCCTGATTTTCAGTTAGCTTTTTAATTTGATTGTCAGTTATGTTAACTTTGACATGCAAGGATTCAACACTTTGGTTGCTATGTTTTACTTTCGACTCTAAGGAATCCAATTGCTCTTTAAGGCCTTTGTTACCTTTTGATAATTGACCTCCAAAGTCTGAGGAGAATTTGGCAGCTACTGTTCTCACTTCTGATACAAGGTTCGTAATTGTTTGTAGTGCTGAATCAACATTTACAAGGGCGATATTTATGCATGAAAGTTTAACGGCTAACTTTTCTTGGTGTTCGTCTAATCTGACTTAAACCTTTGGAGATGGGATTGGCGTTGTTTTCATGATGTATGACTTTATCATTTATAGAATTTGTGTTGAAACATTTATATCATATGTAGATGTCTTTGCTTCTGCTGGAATTTCTATAATTGTTTTGTTTTTGGTAGATTCATCAAGAACTTTTGCATAATCAGAATTTTGAGGACTGTCAAAAATGTCCATGTTTTCATCTACTGTTATTGTATCATTGTGGATTTCATTAAACTCATGTTCAGGATTGACAGCATTTTTATTAACAATATCTTTCAGGGCTTCAAAGTACTTGGTAGTAAAGATTTTACATTTTGCTCCTTGAATAAGTACCATTCCAGATTTGTAAAAATTTAATTTCACGCTAATTGTATCATCGGGGTTGTTTCCTTGCATTGGATTTTAATAGTGGCACCATCTTTAAGTTCACAACAGTGTTCAAAATATGATTGAATTGATTGATTCCAAATGCTAGCCCGATTTGTTTAAAAAGACACATTGTTCGTCTTCCCATCACACTGACAATGGATTTTGGGGGTCTCGTGTTGATGGTGGTGTCATTGATAATGTTGTCTATTTTGGCACCAATAAAGCAATCGCTTAGTTTAGAGGGGGTTTAACTTGTCTAGCCATTTGGCTATTACATTGTTTTAATCATTTTTTTATGATTTACTGCTTCCCAACATCTTAATACAGTAATTTTATAGCAGCACTTGAAAATGCATTGGCGCCGCCATGTTATTAGAAGTATCAAAATTTCTTATGAATTAAGGTTGCAAACTTAATTGAAGGGTTATGAGAGAATGAAATCCAATAGGAAATATCTGGGAAACAGTTTTGGAGGTCAAACTGTGTTCCACAAGAATCTTATCAAATATTTTGGGATGCTATCAGTAACAAAGAGGCTAATTTCATTCAAATGTGGACATCAGAATCTAGCAACTAATAACATAATAATCAATTATGTAATAATGAAATTATCATAATTTGAAAGATTATTCTCTCTTTAATCTTTTGGTTCCTCATTTATGAATTTTGGAGCTAGATGCAAGAAATTACATCAGTTTAAAGTTGTCTGATTGGGGGTAAAAAATCTTTGTATTGTGCTATCTTAACTAATCTAATCACAAACTTTAGCATGAATACTGCAGAAGTTTCAGTCAATAGACCATGACCGAGGGGTGGGGCCAAATTATCTCCATGGATATGAGATGTGCTAATTCTTAAACAAATGCATACCAAATATCAATAACTTACCCCTAGTGGTTCCCCATAAACTGACCTAATTACAACTTAACAAATTGTTGATGCAACCAGAAAACAGCATCTCCACACACAAACGGGTTGACAAAACCTTTAACATTTAAAAATTACATTAGATGTATGTTTCATTATAATACGGTATTCTGATTGGCTAACTGCAATCTCGAGTTATTCCTTAATCAACTTCATTACACAATGAAATTTATCATTCATGATGACACGAGGTCCCCAATAAAGTGCACAGGTAAATTAAATAAAAACTTGATAAAAATCGTGTTTTCATGATCCTATCTAAAAAATGTAATTATAAGTATTGAATGCTTCTTTTTGTAACTTCATAGGGTTGTAAAAGCGTTGACCGTGTGCACATTTTTAGAATGAAGCGCTTCTGCGCTTCATACAAAATGTACTTCGGTCAACGCTTCAACACCTCAATGAAGTTACAAAACGAAGCATTCAATTCTTAAATGAAGATGTCCAACAGATTAAACACATTTCACTTATATTCTTATTTATCAAAAATGTCTTTATTACATAATCATGTGATACTAAAATTTCATAATAATCAGTCAAGACATTAATTACAAGTTTCCAATAAAGTCAGTATGGCAATATCCAAATAGGTCAGGAAAAGCCTTGCTAATTGCTAACATAAAAACATTTCTATATTATAAATCTTGGTTGATAAATCAAACATAAAATCTCAAAAGAAGCACTTTAATCATTATCAACATAGGATGTAGTGGCATAAATAAAGTTCATATAAAATAACTGATTAACATAAAACCAATCAAGCACTCTTCCTTATACAATTATACTAATAGATGCAATTCATATCATTGGTATACAAAACTGTAATGCAATATGGTGAAGTTACCACCATGTAAATATAAGCTGCCAATATAAATATTCAGCAACAAACCTCATATTTTTATTAACAACCCAGAATTTGGTATATCTAAGGTATATATGTATATAGAATTTTTGTACATATCATAAGTTATCTCCCTTCCTTCATTTTAAGCACTTGTTATTTCTGTATAACCAAAGTAGAATGGTGGTCTAACATTACTTATAAACAATTTATTTATCTCCATTTATTCATTTTGGAGACTCTCTTTTTTAAATGTAATATTTCTCAATTTAATCCACAGATACAAACTTGTTTACCTAACAACTAGATCTATAATCAAGTTGTACAGATGTTTAAGATAAGAATGATTTTGCTCATGGAAATAAGAAAAGGAATGGCTGTATTGAAATACAAATCTAAAACGTGATCCTTTAACTCACAAGACAATCTAACTAGAAAACTCACTCAAAAACATTTATCACATTGTGTGATGGAAGCAGAAAATAATGACGATACTTGAATTATGGTAAAACATAATAGTTAAATGATCTTGCAGAAAAAGAAAAAAATTATTAAATTGATTCTAAAGTTGAAACATAAAATGTAAAGTATGTACAGAAATATTATCATGTATCTATTATTGTGACAGTTGAACACTGGACAAAAATGTGAGACTGATTTTTGTAAATTCTGGAAATGCAACAAACAAATCATGCGATCAAAATTTTTAATGCAAGATTTTTTTTATTAGATACCTATCCATTTTCAATTTTTGCCATTATAAAAACATCAATGTATGATCATTGACATAATTTCAACATCAATGTTTAAGATATGTTTTACATTGTATACTAATACAATAAAGAACTTACTACCAATTCAGAAATTAATTTTATTATTGTAAATCATTGATAACTAGAAAAATGTGGGATCTAATTAATGCAATTGTACAAATTGTGTCAAGGAAAATCACTGAGTTTTTACTATTGTGAACCAGATACTGTCACATTTTTCACCTTATCAAAAACATCACAATTTACAGTATTGCACTCAAATCACTGAATTTTACCCAGTAGAATATGACATTGTACTACCTTGTGGGGGAAATTCATATTCTACAAGAGACAATATTCTTGAAAAAATACAAGTAATAAAAATTTCAATGAAAAAAGATACTGGAAGGTCCAAAATTCTTAAAAAAATATAAAGGTGAAATTATAATAAACCAAGAAATATATTTCCAAGACTTGCTTGTACATTTTTATGGACTTAATTAAACAGAAATATCCATGATTAGACTCTATTATTATTTGCTGCATACAGTAACAAACACATAAGATGCTAGTTTGATTGTCTTGGTTTTTTGTGTGGCAACTATAATGTTAACCTTGATCACTAGTGTATGAGGTGAAGATCAGGTGCACAATGTTTAACAGACGATGAGGACCTTGCAAGGATCCCATATACAAAAATTCTACTATATTTATGACTGTTAATAATGTCTACATATTTAGCTTGTACTTATTTTGCTATGCAAAAATGCCAATTATTTTTGTAAAAAATGATGCCAAAATTGTTATGTTCAGGATACAACATACAAATAGAGACTTATTGAAAAGTTGACATTAGGAGATAGAATTTATCATATTAGAGAGTGAATACCCTTAATCTAAGTTAAGGTGGTACCTAACACTACAGGGAGATAATTCTGTAAAAATCAGCTAAACGTTTTAATTACGTTGTATTGTTAAGGAAATATTAAGCTTCTCAATGATCAAAATTAGTGTTTGTCAAACTGCTATATAACCAATGAAATTTTTCCGATAAAGTGGTTGGTTCAAATTTTTTGAAATTTTTATATTTTTGTCAAAGGGTCAAAGTAAACATTTTGTCAAAATTTTATGAAAATTAAACGAGCCAAATTAATGTTAGTCAAGGTGTTGGGTACCACCTTAAGTCTATTCATATCAGATTTTAAAAAATTTATATAAGCAGAAATAAATCAAAATTGTACACACATATCATTTCAAACACAAATTAATATATACATAAATTACATTGGTACAATAAAAACTGAACAAATCTATAACAGACTAGGAAGGAGCACAAGAGACAAAACATTTGTCGATATACAAATAATCCAGGCAATTTAAATAATAATACAATATGATGGTAATCCTACTTTATAAAAGTACATGGATGCCATGTAAAAAAGGTTACCAGGTAAATGGTGCATTAATTCACAATCTAAGTATATCCCCTTCATCAAAGCAGGGTTATTATTGCAGACTTGGATGCTTCTTTTCATAATTTTGTTGAGATGTAATGCCATTGACAGAAGCATTTTATTTCAACCGCAGAAGCACTTCATATTAAAAATGTGTGCACGATCAACACTTTTACAACCCAATAAAATTATAAAAAGAAGCATTCAATTTCTTATACATGTAATTACATTTTTATGCAACAACCATGAAATTAAGAGTTATATCAAGCTTTTATTTTGTTCTAAGATGCATGATTTCAATATTGTCACGGATAGCAGGTGCAGTCATAGCTGTTGTTTTTTATACGGATATAAAATATGATATTGGAGTGCCTCACTATTGTTATCGGCCAATCAAAATTATGGATTCTATTGAAACATAAATGAAATGTAATTATAACATTGACTGTGCCAATTATCAAAATAAAAAGATGTTCCTGTAGCTGTTATCAACATATATCCAGAATAGTTTTCTAGTATATAAAAAAAGTTGAATATCTGATGTGTTCCATCGATATTGGTATTGGATTTCATTCAAAGAACTTTCAATGTTTAAGTTTAGATTTTCACAGAGAAGACTGCTAGTGGATGCAGCCATTACTTATGATTGCAAATAACACTGCTGTGATGTTTCATTCAGGTAAGGTTTGTATTAAACTCAAAGTACATAATTAGAGCATTTACGTTGAGATCAGTCAAGAATGCAAAAAGACAAATCAAATGGCTTTACATGCAAAAGTTCTATAAACCTGATATTATTTTCATTGTTTTCACAGTGAAAATTTGATCAATAATGTAAAAGCTATATAAATATAATAATAATAATAAATAATTCACCAAAACTGATGTAAAACTGTAAAGCAATGAAATCAGAAAAATGGGAATAAAAATTACATACAATATAAAATTAATCTGGATCACAACTGAATTAAATATGAAAAAAAAAACCAAAAAACAACACAATATTAGCTCATCGGAATTTTAATTAACAGTTCATTCAGATTATATTGGAATTGAAAGAAGAAAAAACAGAAAAATAAATGATATTAACAAAAGTACACAGGATTCAATCAATCTATTTAGACTTCATTTGTATAATAAAAAATATAAAAAATTAGTCAAAACCACTCACAAAGATGTACAAGAATAATAAAATTGTATTGATCATTTGTTAAATTGATATTTTATGACATTGTAAGACATTCTATAATTTTACAAATAAATCATTTCAAATTTTGTATAATTCCATAGGAGATTCATTATCTTTCTTACTTTTGTAAAGATATAAAACATTGAATATCATAATGCTATTGAAATAAATATTATGCAAAAAATGTTAAGAGTTTTAAAAGAAATTAGTGTTTCAGATCTATTGCATTTCAATCTCTTGGGAAGACATGTGTATTTTTCTTTGTGAATGACAAAGGAACATTTGGCTTTAGTTATTCATTAAATTACAAAAATTGCAATAATCTCAACTTGAGGCAAAATAAATAGGGGTGTCAGAAATTACATAAAGTACTAACATTGAACTATGGTACATTGTTGCCATAACGCTGTATTGTATAGGTTTCATAACTACTAGGACGATTAACTGTATTTTGTAGTTGTAATATATTTTACTGAGAATCCACAACAAGGGGTTAATAATCAGTTCACCTTAATTTTGTAGCTAAAGATCTTGTCTAAAGAAACTCATTTGATGTACAGTTCAATAATATTTATTTTTGAAATCCTGTAAATAAAAATCTGCAAGTAGTTTGTTTCTTTATTTCCCTTCTTATGATCGTCATGACAAAACTGATAACCCAGTCTTTTTACTTCACAACAGGAAGCATTACAAAAGCAGAAAACTTGAATGTGGAAACCTTAAAAGTGATTTAAAGATGGATGAAATTCAACCTGTCAAAAAAATTATTTTAACAACTGATCTTAATTTCCTAAAGTACTTACTAGGCAAAATATGATAATGTATGGTCAGTGGCAGGCAAGTCAAAATATAATTAATTTTTAAACACTTAAAATAGAAAAGATGAAAATTGGCCCAACTTCTAGTTTTCACTTGAGATGGCATAGAACCTAAATAAGTTATCAAAAATAAGTCACAACCTAAAACTAACAAATAAATAAACTAAATTAAACATGATACATACAGCCTTAACCAGGTCTTTCAAGTTATCAATAAACATTTATTCACATAACAAGTGTTAAACACAAGTAAGATATATAATTACAAATACTTACTAAGATTCATTATAAAATTCTCCCATACTCTCCTTTCCTCTACAGAAATCTTCACAAGAATAAAACACTAACTTACAATATTTAATATAAAAATAAATTATAAACAATTTAAGGTGAACACTTAAAACGGGTGTGTTTTACAGAGTCAAACCTGATTGAGTTTTTTGTAATATACATCTTACTTTCATTTTATTCATTAATGACGTATCTTGAAATTCAGATTTCTAAGACAAAGAAAATATGATGACTGGAACCACTGGATTCTCCTCTCCAAATGGATCAGCTGTCCTCATTATTTTATTTTCAAAATTAAAGAGTCTATAAAACAAACAAAAATCCCCATGTAACTTATTCCTTTTAATAAATGTTGGTTTGCAATAATTAACATTGCATTTTATCTAAGTTACACTTGAATTTTTTTAACTAAATTATTACTTTATCATTTAAAACTTTTATATGAAATCATTCCCTAAAAAAATTGTTTTGTTACAGACTGCCTACATTTTTAAAAATGACATTGAGAATTCAATATATCGTAATCACTGCGGCAAATCCTAACATTTTCTCCAAGTATATATACACATTACAAAACGCATTTCCTCTCCCATCTCTTATTAAGGTAATCCAAATATCAGATTCGTATTGACAGACTTATCTGCATCATGAAACAGATACTAATAGATAATAATCATTTTGGTAAGCAGCATTACACATATATATTGTAAAAATCAAGACTTATACAGAATTATTAAGTATCACTTCAATCTGGAACCAGGCAGTATGTGAAAGATAGTGAAAATACCTAAAATATTAAATCTAAATTAAAAAAAAAAAAACTTCAAAGAAAAACTTCAGCTGTAATTTTCCAATATGCTTACTTTCAAAATATTTAAAATTCAAACAGCTACATTGAAAATAAATCAAACCAAGGGAAATAACTCAATTATTCACAATACAATGCACAATTGTAAGTATGTTTTATTGATTTTCTTCTTTGAACAGGCAGTTTATAAAAAAGAGTTATACTTATTCATTTTATCATATATCCATACACATCATAAAATTGGCTGAAGAAAATAAAAATATATACAGCCATTTTTTTTAGTATATCACACATTTCCCAAAACTATCATGAGAGTTACCTTTCTTCATCCATGAAAATTTAAAAGATTGACTTGATACAAGTATGACTAAATCAATTTGAATTAACTGCTATGTGTTTTAAAACAAAATTATTTTTTTTAAAAATGTTTTGTAATTGTAAAAAGTCATCACATGAAATAAGAAAAGTAAATACCTTTTGTTTTATTGTGTTTCAGGGTTGCTGTCCATTAACACATACTCAACTTTTCTAATCATTCTTGAGAAATAAGCCGTAAAATAGAATATGACTATTTAGCACTTTCAGATCTGACAATGTAAAACATAATTATAGAACATATTGTTCTTAACATCATAATTCTAAAATTTCTTGTTGTTCAGCTAATGATATGCCCGTTGATTGATCTGTTGGATTTAATATACAATCTTCTATATCATCCTCTTGTAACTCATCAAATCTACAACACAATTATCAGAAAATAAACATGTGAAACCAGAGTGAAAATCTGTTTAAATAAATGGAGAATGTGTCTATTGGCCACAGATGCCCCCGTTTGTAAATATGCATGAGTCAACTTCCACATACAGATGCAGGATTCACGCAGTTAAGACCGTTTAGTGATTATAAGCATTGTGTATAAGTTTCTTAACATTTGGTTGAGGGAAAACTAAAGTTAGAGAAACGAAATGACAGATTTAACAATTTTTCCATTTATAAAAGGGTACAACTCAAGAACAGTAAAAGTGACGCCACCCAATTTATTCTTGATCTGTGTTTCGTTGTAATAAGCATTGTGTACGAGTTTCATAACATTTGATTGAGGCAACTAAATTGGAGAACGGAAACGAAAAATTCAGAAATTTTTATGTTTATAAAGGGCATAACTCATGAACGGTAATAGTGACACCACCCAATTTCGAACTTAATCTGTGTTTTGTGGTAATGAGCATTGTGTATAAGCTTCATAGCATTTGGTTGAGGCAAACTAAAGTTAGAGAACAGAAACGAAAAATACAGCAATTTTTATGTTTATAACAGGGCAAAACTCATGAACGGTAAAAGTGACGCCACCAAATTTCAAACTTGATCTGTGTTTTATGGTAATAAGCATTGTGTATAAGTTTTATAACATTTGGTTGAGGCAAACTAAAGTTAGAGATTGGAAACCAATTTTGGGGACGTATGGACGGACGGGACGGACAAGGGTAACACTTAATGCCCCCTCCGCTACGGCAGGGGGCATAAAAATACATCTATGGTGTAAAGTCATTTGCAACTTATTTTTATAAAAATGTTAACCCTGCCACATTTTTTATGTGCCTGTCCAAAGTCATGAGCCGTTGATGGTTCAGCTCTTGACATATTTGTTTTTTTGTAAATTGTATTATTGTAAATTAGGAAGTTAGTCTTCTCTTATGTATTGTTTCACATTTTTCATGTCGGACCTTTTACAGCTGACTATAAGATATGGGTTTTTCTCATTGTCAAAAGCTGTATGGTGACCTATAATTGCTTATATCCACGTAAATTGAACTCTGGTGGATAGTTGTCTCATTGGCAATCATACCACATCTCCTTATCTTTATAATGATGAAGACCACTGTTATTTGATTGATTTTTATCAAATTAAAACAAGTTCAAAAGCCAAACTATCTAACATTTATCATCAACAAATTTTATCAGAAAATTGCTTTTTGAGATGCAATGAAGATGTAATGTTTTTCAAAATTTATCGATTTCATCTTCAAGTCGACCATTATTTCATGAATACCTTTTTTATATCAAAGTTCTCATAAGTTACTACTGACTAGAGGTGACAAATGGTATGACTGGATGTTAGCAGAAATAGTGTCATATTCATTTCAGCTAGATGATCTTTACCATAACTTTTGGGTAAAAATAAATATCTTTACCAGACTGAACTGTTATATGTATTTCTACATGAATTGAAATGTGGCGGTTTAAGTTAAATCCACTATTAAGTGCATGTTTCTTTTGGTTGTTTTTTCAAATGCCAATGATTTTAAGCATTTTATCATTTGTTTATTGGTCAGAATGAAATATTCTATTCACATGATAATCTTTATAAAGATATTTAAACACAAGTCTTTTTTTCTCTCTGTATAACTCCACATCTAGCATTATGGTTAACCAAATGTTTTTTTTTTATAATGAATTTGCTTTATTGTAACAAATAGACTAGCACAACATGTATGAAAAAAGGTATACAGAATGGCATATTCACGGCAAGGAAGTTTAAATCAAAAACAACAATTGATTATATAATGGTGCAACAGTAGGTTAAACATAAATAATTATCTAATAACAATGGAATCTTAATTCGTTCTTGGAATATCTATTTGTGGTGTTTAAATCAAAATTGATAAATTCCGACATTTATTAATAAGTCTATAATAGGGACCCAGGGGCTCCAGTATTTGTTATATTCCTCTTCAGAGAGGTTTTTAAATGAAATGTATTTCTCTAAGTTCATGTGTTCCTTTAAATAATTTTTTAAAGCATTTAAATTTGGCAATACTTCTTGTAATTTTTTTCGGTAAATATAGTATTTTGTAAGCAAAATAATCTTATTTTTAACAAAATTCAATTTAATATTTTCGTAGTTACCATATATGTTAATTTGGATATTCAAAGGCAGTTCAATATTTGTCATTTCAAAAATCCAGTTATTTAGTGCATGCCAGAGACTAGAAACCATATGACAGCTCCAAAATAGATGTTCTATGGTCTCTGGTTCTTCTTTGCAAAATTTACATATGTTGCTACTATTTATTTTCATCTTGTAAAGTAGTGTATTAGTTCCCAGAATTCTATGAATAATTCTATACTGGAACCAGCAAAGCTTAGTGCTTCTGTTATATTTTGTACACAAAGTGTATACTTTTTTCCAGTTAATACCAGTCATATTAAGATGGTTTTCCCATTTTTCCTTTGCAGCAAAAGTAACATATTTCTCATTCAATACTTTGTACATGTCCTTTGAACCTTTCTTTGGTTCAAAGAAAATGCTTATATTAAAAGGTAGCATTGCTTGAATTTTTTTCTCCTTTACATCAATATTGATCGTGTTTAACCACTCTTTAAGTGAGTGTGATATTCCATAATAATGTAAAACGTTTGGCCTAAATTGATATAATTGTTGGAGATTTTGAAATGACATCATTTTTGTCTGATTATCTAAGAAGTCATGCACTGTCCAAATTCCAGCTTTAGCCCAGTTTTTTTAAGTAAACACTTGAACCCCCAATTTTAATGTTTTCTCTCTCCCATAAAGGATAAGATAAAACTTCATCAATACATCTTTGTTTTCTAATTTGATTAAGGGTTTTCCAAGCATCAAAAACCTCTTGCCAAAATTTATTTGATGACCTTTTCATGGGCCCAATGTAACTTAGTTCAATAAAGTTCTTTTAAAACATTTCTATGGTTACCTTCTGGTCACTCTTATATCAATTTTGATGTATTTGCACCACTATCAATGGAATATACTTTTAAAACTATTTGCAAATTATTGTATGATTTGTATCTTACCGATCATAAGAAGCATTCTGTGTAATTTTATCTAATTCATTTTCTTCTGTACTACCTTTGGTTTTTATCATATATAAAATGGCACTTATAATTAACATAACACCTGAAAGGAAAACAAAATTTATCATTTATAATCAACAGCTTTCAACACAAAGAAATATTCATTATGAAATGTTCTAAAAAATCAAATGTAAATATCATAAAAAAGGCCTGGAAGGCGCTATATAAAATATGTCTCTACACACAATAAGTAGGGGGAGCTCTCCTTTTTTTTTTATTACTGTTGTTGCCAGCAGGCTTTATATTAGCATAACCAAAGCAGAAACTTTTATGCAGACATCGAGATAAAGAACAACTTTACACTATCCACATTGTTTATATCTAGATCATAACTTTTCGAAGCTTTCTTCAAAATTGACTTGTCAATATTATCTTGATAAATATATAAATTCTAACCAAGATTAATTAGCTGCAGTAAGAAGTTTTGTTGATGGTTGATTGTTGCCATATACGTGTACCACACATCTCCTTGCATATTGGTATCAACATACAAATATATTTAATCAAATAAAAGAACAGAGTTCCAATGTCCTCCACTTTGTATATGTTTTATCTATCCAAGGGCAATAACTAAATAATTTGTTTTAAAGCTTGTTATACATATCTTTAAGAAATGTATGCTTGAAAGCACTTACAATGCAATTTTCCATATAATAAATAATTCCAAGGCTCATAACTCTTTTTAACATAGTTGATCAGCTCTGATTTTCGAACTTGTCAAGGAGATTGCTGATATAAACCTTTGATATAGGTTTGATAAAAACCTGGCAAAAATTGTACACATGAGTGTGCTTTAAATACAATTTTCTACTTAATAAATTTTTCCAATGGCATAACTTTTTAAAAATTATTTGATAGGCACTGATTTTCAAATTTGTCCGAGACACTGCTAATATAAACCTCTGATATAAGTTTGATGAAAATCTGGCAAGAATTATACACATGAGAGCCCTTACAGTGCAATTTTCTACTTAATAAATATTTCAAAGGGGCATAACTCTTTTATAAGTATTTGACAGGCACTGGTTTTCGAACTTGTCTGAGACATTACTCATGCTAACCTCTGATGTAATTTTGATTAAAATCTTAAAAGAATTGTACACGTGAGAGCTCTTACATGAACAGACAAAGGGACGAACGCCTGGTGTCTACTGCAATGAGTCGTGCAGGGGACAATTAAAATGGTGGAATAACATTATAAAATGCAGACCCTACCAAATATCCTACAAAAGATCAAAGCTGTCAAACAAAATGTCTGACAACAAAGTAACACTATATAAAAACAAAGTAACACTATATAAATTGTATTTATATGAATCTCTCATGGATTTACCTTCACCAGGAACACTCAAAGCCACAAGAGTTAACACTGTGTAAACAAAAGGCCCAAGATATTAGTCTATCATGTCAATGTGTCTCTGTCACCATGATTCATGGACAGATTATTACAATAAAATTACAATGAAACAGGCAACAAACAACAGCAAAATTTTACCTGATATTATACCAAGCCATACTGTAGATGGCTGTATAAAACATGGAACAGAAAATAATATATATAAAATTCCTTTCTTCCAATTATCAACCATGACTATGGCATTCCATATGTTCTTACAGCAACTTTCTTCATCACTGAAATATATAAGTAAGAAGGATCACAACTACATACATTGTTTTTGTACATACATTCATAATCAATATTCAATCACATATCTTTTGTTCAAGATTATGAGTGATAAGCCTGGTGGGCAACTTGGATAAAGAAGTCACTTTCCTGTCTGTCACCCACGGTATCAAGTTGCCTTGGTTTATCAACAGCTACGGTTGTGATGTAAAAGAAATTTCCCATTTTGATGTAAATAGATTCAAAGACAGAGGATTCACTTATTTATTAAAAAAAGAAATGAATTCATATATGTATTTTCTTTCAAGGGAATATTGCTTTGTGCAATTGAATATGCTTTTTTATTCCAAAACTTGTTTCACAAACATACATCAAACGAATGTGATTTTTAAAAGCAACTTTTATAACTTTATGACATTTTACTGCTACTATATACCACACATCTCTATCATACGACATCTCATTATTTTAAAACAAACGAAATTGGTGATTGGATTTTAAAATTTATTGTAGCTATATTTTTCTTTTTTATATTATATACATTGTATTCCTTAATCTGAGACAGTGTTCTATATACATTGTATTCCTTAATCTGAGACAGTGTTCTATATACATTGTATTCCTTAATCTGAGACAGTGTTCTATATACATTGTATTCCTTAATCTGAGACAGTGTTCTATATACATTGTATTCCTTAATCTGAGACAGTGTTTTATATACATTGTATTCCTTAATCTGAGACAGTGTTCTATATACATTGTATTCCTTAATCTGAGACAGTGTTCTATATACATTGTATTTTTAAATGGTATAGATGGACGACATTGAAGTGACAGAAACTTAAGAGTTACCTAATAATAATATGTTACTAAGAAAAGACTAATGGAAAAAACATTGTTTTGGCAATAGTGTGGTTAAAAACATTATATTTTGTAGCATTGCAAGAGATAGAGCACTTCTCTCTTGTCTAACCACTTCTCCCTGCAAGACTTAAAAAGAGAAATCACTTTACCTATGTTTCTAACTTATTGTTAGTCCCGATTATGTAATACATATATGGTCAAGGTCATTTTACATAATACATGTACATCTCTCTATTTTTAAATTACAATTTCTATTATAAACTATTATAAGACAGTGAATGTTCTTTCCCATTTAATATTAGGTAATACTAAATTAACATGCATGTGCTTTGCCTCATTAAAGACAATTCTATTTTTTTTATATAATATACTAAAAATTCTTTCAGAAGCCAAATAATGTAATAGTATTGTCAGATAACACATGCAGAACAGACCTCCTTATAATGCAATAGCTTAATGTGGATTAATACTCACCCTTGACAAACAGCTACAATATAGTTCATAGCAAATACCAGCTCAAAGAAAGTCACAGCAAGACCAGCAAGACTGGAAATAAATAAAAGTTGTTTTTTTTTTTGTTGTTGGAAAGAATGGTTGATCAATCAATTTTGTGTATGCAAGTTAACTGAACGTGTATTCCTATAGCTGATTTAAGTGGGAATCATTATCTCTTATGTCCTATCAAATATATCAATACAAAGCTTGACTTTAAAGTTACCACATGAACTGCAAAACTACATAAAAGCTTAAATTTTAGTTTTTTTCTAAAAAAGATTAAATGACGGCTTCTTAATGTCTAGCTAGTGGTAAATATTCTATGCATATTCAAGACAAATAAGTCATATGAACATGAAACCTACTTTATACTTGACAGACATGCTACCTAACACTCACAAGGTTAAAGGTCCACATGAAAACATGTAGTACCTGGGAAAATAACTATACAACCACCAGTACCTAGCTTACTCGTACAATGTTCTTGACAGGCTTCAATAATGCAGAAGCAGAAAATTTAAAGTCTTTTGTTTGCTAGGGATCTAAGATTTTTAGGGGTAAAATTAGTATTCATGAAATATTTTTACTCACCTAAAACAGAGTGTATTGTTTAAATATTATAAGCTCTTACATGGGGTCAAATATGACTTTATGATTTATTCACATGTAATAAACTTACGTTATATAATAACCAAGGATATGTCCATAATAAATAGCTTCTACACCAGTTCCCCATAAACCTGAAAAGCAAATGATCCTCTATTATCTAGGAGTGTTACATATAATAATGTTAAATATCTTATTAAGTGTATAATTTTACGTTTGTAAACTTTATCAAAAATTGTCTATATAACTTACACTTTTTTAACATTTAAAAAAGTCAGATGCTTTATGATCTGAAGATGATCATTCTTTGTCACACCTTTAGTTTTTTTTATCCAAGAACATTATTAAAAGGGAAGAATATATAGAGGGAATTAAAAAAGCCAAGTTGAGTAAAGATAATTAACACTTTGGCAGTTAGAAATATAAACTGATCAACACAAACCCCACAACAAACTTGGAGTGAATTAAGGGCCATGAGTTTTTTCTAGCATTTTTCAGCGAATGTTAAACATGTTAAAAAGATTTATTCCCAATGTGAATGAGAATTGATTCAAAATTTCATATATAATTCATGAAATTATCAACTAATTAGTACATTTTGTAATTTGGGTTCCAAGATGAACATATTTTAGACATAAAATCTTCCTACAAATAGGATTAGAACACCATTCCCAAAGCTCTCTCAGATACATGTACCACCCCTGGGTGCTCCCGAGGTCAGAGGTAATAAGATCCTTTAAACTGACCAAGGCATTTCAGAAACACTTTATCAATTTGGAATAGAGTGAGGAACAATAAAATAAATATTTTTGATAATGTGCTTACAAAATTTTATCAAATTATGATGGAAAGATGAAACTGCTTCTTTTATTAATTACATGTACATTGTATAAAATGAACGTTAAGGCTGTACCTTAACCTATAATGGTTTACTTTTATAAATTGTTACTTGGATGGAGAGTTGTCTCATTGGCACTCATACCACATCTTCCTATATCTATTAAATTATAAACATGGTAATTGAAAGAATTCCCATAAGGGAACCAAAAAATAGACCTTTTCATACATGATAATATTTTGAAAAGCCCCTAAAAAAGTTATAATTATTTTTGTATTATTATTGGCTGGCCTGTTGAGTTTGTGAAATTGTGAGCTGTTAATTTGCTTGGCAAGTGACTTGTTCATTCTATTAATAGTTTTGATAAAAAAAATTAAAGGACAAGCTGCAATAAGAATATGTATTACCATAGTTACTACGTTACATCAGACTTCTTTAATTCAAATACAATTAAACCGTTTTATTTTGAGCAAAGATTTGTATAGACAAATCCTTGTTTTGAGTAATTGCCAAATGTTGTAAAGGTCTGTTTTTGTAGCCAAAACATTTTACTTGATGGCATCAGTGACACTGTTATTATATATCTCTACTGGCATACTTGGAAAAGAATCAAAATTCAATGTAAATAGGTCATTGACATGACTTTGATTCAATGTTAAAATGAAATAAGAAGCACATGTTGTTGTCATTCATGGACCAATGGGTTTGCCCTAACCCTAACCCTTCGAGTATGACCAGTAACGAGAACAATTTAAAATCAATTCTAATTTTTGATGTCCGAAGGAAAAATTTGTCGCAAAAATTATTTGATCACAAAATTTAACAATTATCATAGTGTTCTAAAAATAGAACACAGTGGCGTGATCTAGTTTGTCTAGCGACAGGCATGTTTCAACTGTTTATACTCACTTAACGCTGTAATGATACCCCAAAATCTACAAAACCACATGAAAAATTCCCATCCATAATTGGAAAAAGTTTCCCCACAACAAGTCATATTTTTTGTTTATATTATAAGATGTTAATCTAGAGAAAACAAAGCAACGTGCTCCAACTATCCATCGTACGATTCTCCGGAAGTTGTTTATTGCTCGGAAACCTTTGGGTGTTTCCACTAAAATCTGTAAAAGGCGCGTTTTTCAAAAAGTTTGTTGTCCTTTGTTTGCATTAAAATATCAAGATGATAATATACAATTACTGTCTTTTGATGAGGTAAATGTGTGGTTTTATTGACTTTTGAAAAACTGATATTCACTGAGGCCAACGGCCGAAGTGAATATCACTAGGTTTTTCAAAAGTCAATTAAACCACATATTTACCGAAACAAAAGACAGTAATTGTTTTATTCCATGTTCCGAGACAGAAAAATATGTGTAAAATAACAGTTATTTACCAAAACAACTAAACGTCAAACATTGTATCGTTATTATACACGTAAAAGCACGCGACGTTTTGCGCGGTGAATATACTTTTTCCGCAGGTGAATATGCTTATTTATTCAAAATCCCATTCATATAGAAAAACCTACTAAAGTTCTATCAATATGGAATAATAATCAATATTATATATTTTCAGAAGGTAACTCAGTTAAAAATAGGTAATCCTACCGCCCCGTGGACTACTACATCTACTTTATATGAGGGGCGTAAAGGGGGGGGGGGGGGGGGGTATCTGCACGGAAGAACGCGAAATAAAATTGCCATTTCACGCTGAACGAACAATTAAAAATTTCTTGCATGTTGATCTTTTTACCGATTTCACCAAACACGCATGACGGTGAATAACGAACCTTTTTCACGGCTGCACGTGAAATAAAAATGGCAAAACACGTTGCACGAAAATAACCCTTTACCACCCTCTTATATAATAAGGGTCTGAATAGGGGAGGGGTCCTTCTTTTCTTTATTCTTTAATTTTTAGACTATTTTCTCTAACGTTAACGTCACAGTACCCAAATTGCACCTATTTAGCAAAAAAAGCAGCGGAAATCTTACAAGTTTTTATTAGAGACTAAACAATTTGTATTTTTAAGATTTGACATTGACGACTGAGGGTGGTAAAGGGTTATTTTCGTAAGACAATCAATTTATTACTTTAAAAAGAGATTTTTTTATTATTTTACTTATCCATTTTCTATTTAAGGGAGCGATTAAGCCATGGATGTGTTGTATTGATCTTTTTCACGTTTGGAAAGCTTGCAATTTCAAGAAAAACTAAGGTATATTTTGTTATACATAGCTTGCACTAATTTGAAACATACTTCTTTGCTTATCCCGCACTCCCTTATTTAAAACATACTTATTCCGCACTGTATACAGTGTAATTGTTTTCGATATTCATGTTGGAAATACATGAGTTGGTAAAGTGTTTCTCATTACATGCAAAATTACGTAAAGATTAATCGGTATAAAATCACATAACGCTAAATCTGTTCTTTTGAAGTCAAAAATATATAAAAACGCAAAAGTTTGAGCTCAAACTTCATATCAGTCTTCCATACATGCAGCCTCAGGCTTTTAAAAATTCTAAATAAGTTTAAAAAAAAAAGAAAAAAAAGAAGTTTTATCCGAAAAATTCGAAATTCACGGAGCTACTCCTCTTCACTACGCTTTACCTAAATAGTTTTATTTTTGTTAATCGGTAAAACGTTATGTAAAATAAATCGTGTATTAATGCGATACCGTGAACATTGATGCGACGTATACAGTTTATGATATCAATAGATATAAGAAGATGTGGTATGAGTGCCAATGAGACAACTCTCCATACAAGTCACAATTTATAAAAGTTAACCATTAAACGTCAAAGTACGGTCTTCAACACGGATCCTTGGCTCACACCACACAGCAAGCTATAAAGGGCCCCAAAAATTACTAGTGTAAAACCATTCAAACGGGGAAATCAACGGTCTAATCTATATAAAGAAACGAGAAACGAGAAACACTTATGAACCACATCAACAAACGACAACTACTGAACATCAGATTCCTGACTTAGGACAGGTGCAAACAATTGCAGCGGGTTTAAACGTTTTAAAGGTACCAAACCTTCACCCTTATCTGAAACAATAGTGTAACATCACAACATAGAAAGACACACTATAAAATATCAATTGAAATGGCTTAACTCAATCAAAAGACATATTAACACAAGTGAACATACACTGAACGAATAAATTTGATCTATGATACAATGTAAATACAAAATCACTAAAATAAGGGATGAATAATTAAAGTAACAGTATTATACCGCTGTGAAATGTTAAACAATTTCAGAAAAACAACAATAACCTTAAACAAAAATCCGCCATTTACAATAATATTCTACACAGGTAAATGAAAATAATTTTGTTGTTAGGTATACAGTTTAAAAGGAGAAAGGAAATATTTTTACAAAATAAATAATTTTGATGTTCATAGTACGAAGAAGTGAACATTTATAGTAATACCAAACACTTATCAAAGCTGGTATATAGACCAGATATAACCCTGAAGAAGTAAACATTAAATAACAAAAAAGCATTACAAATAGTATCAACAGGTCAAATTAACAAGAAAGTACGATTTGAGAGTACTCGCAGTTACTGACAGCTAGTTAAAAGCCAAAAACAATTAATAATAAAAAATCATGCATCAGAGACTAAAATCAACTAAAACACATCCCAGGGATTTAGTATTTTAACGTCATGGACAGTGTCTATATAATAGTTTCACAATTGTTGGTGTTCGGACTCAATGCAAGAAGTAAGTTCCTTTCTTGCCTTTATCCTATATCCATGATCTCCAGTATGAACCCTCGATTTTTATTAGTTCTGGCTTTCTCAAACACAAATAAATCGGTCAGTCAATATAAAAATTATAATTATTTTATGTAAAACTACGTTTAAAAAAATACATTTGTTGACGGCATTTATTGTTGGATTTTCACAGACCGTGTGTTGAAAGACGGAGAATTGTCTGGAGTGTATTTGTTTATTTGGCCATATTTTTTTCTTCAGTTATTTTTGTTTTCTCCTGATGAGAATAAGTATTGAATTTATTTACATATAAATAGCAAATTTTCGGACAAAAAATAAATTTTGTGTTTATATCATCAGAAATTGGTAATTAACGCTTCACAGCAAATATATTACCAAATAAACAAATAAATGTACGACAGTTCTGCTCAGTTTATTAGTATTAAGTTGATTAAAATCCAACCAAAAAAGGCCCCTCAATATTTTTTTGAAAAAAAACCGTCGATCTATAGGAAATATATAGAAACAAATTGTAAGTGGCAAATCCTTATATGGCCATGTACTGAATATCCCACAAATTCTTCAATACGTATTCTTTACATTTCCTTTACTACAGAACACATGTTGTATACCCTTACACATAAAACAATGAATAAAAAGGATATATATACTGAAACGAAATATTACACAACGTCAATATTATATGATTTTACGTTAACATTCGACGTTACCAAAAGTGACACCAATACCGTGCGTAACGTCATTATGCACGTCTTTCAACATAGCTAAATATATGTTACACAGTAGATATGCGCAAAACTTTCACTGTATATATCATCAGATGAAGTATTCACTGGAAAAATTATAATCTATGGAAACGTCATCTTTAAAAAATTAGCAAATTAAACATGTTACAAGCATCCATTTCTTAAAAAATGAAAAGTAAACATGAACTAATGTCAAAATGTTCTAAATATTTGAAGAAATAAAACAAAACATCTGTTATTCGATTTTTAAGGATGTTAATTTAAGCATGGGTGCAATTTGGGTACTCCTCATTACAGAATCATGGATCGTTTGGAGGTTGGTTCAAACTCATTTTTCTATGATTTAATAAGGATTCAAAATTAAATTGGTGGGACTATATAGTAAATAAGGATACATCTACAAAATAAACCCAGAATGGAAACTTAATTTTGTCTGGATCATAAATAAACGTAGGTGAAAAAACTGTCAAAATATGTGCAATTTGGGTACCCTCACCTTATATTCTTTATTTGTTTTGCCCATTATTCTCTATCCTTTATATGTCAACAACTAATTATTCTCTATTAATAAATTTTTGGTATATAATTATTTTGTCTCTATTCTTTTTTTTTAGCCATTTATTCTGCACGTTTTGCCTGGTATTATTCTCTATTCTTTAAACCTCATCCAGACACTTCCAAGACAATAATACATAAACAATAGAATAACAGATCTCATCCAGACACTTCCAAGACAATAATACATAAACAATAGAATAACAGATCTCATCCAGACACTTCCAAGACAATAATACATAAACAATAGAATAACAGATCTCATCCAGACACTTCCAAGACAATAATACATAAACAATAGAATAACAGATAAGCAAACAATAAGCCATCTCAACTTTTGGAAAAGAACAGACAAAGAAGTATCAATAATCGCTTTCATGCAAAAGTATAATACACCCAGATAAGATACAGGAGTCGGTTTCACAAAACAACTTACGACTAAGATTGATCGTAAGTCATGAACAATTCAGTATACTTACGATCAATCTTAGTCGTAAGTTTTTTTGTGAAACCGACTCCAGTCTGCTTACAAAGCATTCATTGCACCTGTGACTAATGGATAAATGTATTATAAATGTCTATTTGATTTTTCCCCATGCAAGAGATTTAATTTTTATCAATGAATTCCCGCAAATTTTCAATTATGAACGAAGTCTATTAGATTGTAGGAATAAAAGTCACGGGTAAAAAGTCACAGGAAAAAAGTCATAGGAAATAAAGTCTCAATGATAAAAAAGATTTTAAATTTGGTATAAATGTAAAATTTTTGAATATACATAATTTAAAAATTTGTCCATGGAAATGTCTAGTTCTTATAATTAATTGGTTTCAAATTACTCTACATTTCCTGTCAATCGTCTAAAATCTTGTATGTATGTACTGGTAGATTCCCCGAGAATTGCGAGGGTAACAGTGGAAATCGTGTCATTCATTTACAATTGAGTGTTCCGTATAACATTAAAAAAAGAGAAAAGAAATGAAATATACTATTAAATATTTGTACAAAAAGTGGACATTA